ATTGTTCGAGATTTATCTACAGATTTCTACCGCAATACGGCCGAGTGATACGGTCGATCGTCGATGGAAAGGATAAAACGCACAAAATATATCGGCAAATACTCGACGAGCATCGCGCACGAATCGAGTCAGAGAATGGATACAAGATCGATAGCTTTTTGGCGGCATTCGACGAGCAAATGAGGAAGAAAAATACCGCGGAATTCGGATATTTCACGGAGCCACAGCTTTATCATTTGCTTGCCGATCTGTTCGGCGCCGGGACCGACACTACGTTGACCACCCTTCGTTGGTTTCTCTTGTTCATGGCTGCTTACCCTACGGAACAGGTAGTATCTATCTACCTCTTGCATCTTGTACATATATATATATATAATAATAAACAATTTTTCCATAGGAAAAAATACAATCGGAAATGGATCTGTGCTTGAAGGAAGGAGAGCAGCCTACGTTGAATGACAGAATCGCCATGCCTCGTCTCGAAGCAGCCATAGCCGAGGTGCAAAGGATAAGGAGCGTAACCCCTTTAGGTATACCTCACGGAACATCAGAGGTATTTATCCAAATAAATTATTCAAGCTGTATTAATAAAACTTGTCTAATTTTGATGGATATATAATTTGTTTGTCGTCCAAGGATGTGCAAATAGGTGGTTACGACATACCGTGCGGCGCCATGATCGTGCCCATGCAGTGGGCCGTCCACACAGATCCCGCTTATTGGCACGACCCCCTCGAATTTCGACCCGACAGATTCCTGTCCGACGATGGAAGTTTCTTCAAACCGGAATCGTTTCTTCCGTTTCAAAACGGTAAAATCGAACTTTCTTTATTTTTCTAATATTTCCTTTTTTCTTTTTTTTCATTTATTTTTCATTTCGTATTTCAAAGGGAAACGCGTTTGCGTTGGAGAGGAATTGGCTAGAATGATACTGTTCCTGTTTGCCGGGCGAATCCTGCGTGCGTTCGTGGTGTCCGTACCACAGGACGAGACGGCCGACCTCGAAGGCGAGTGCGGTATCACGCTCGTGCCGAAGCCTCATCGGTTGGCGTTTATCGAGCGGGATCGATAAAAATTTTCGCTTCTCCCTTTTTTCTATTTTTTTTTTTTTTTTTTTTTTTTTTGTAAATTTCACGGAAATAAATATCTTTTGAAGATTTATTCGGCGGGACGATCGTCCGTTTAGAAAGTTTTTACGTCCAGTGTCGACGGATGGCTTTCGTTTCTCCTCTTCTCGATCAACTCGATCCCCTCCTCATATTTTCCCTCTTTGTTGCTGGTCACTTTTTTCTTTTTCTTTTTTTTTTTTTTTTACGTCTCTTCAGGCACCTACCTGCTGCTCCTTTCATCCCAAGCTCGTGTAAACGTATCGCCTATCATCCCAAAGCCCAATTTCCGCCCACGTTCTCATCCTTTCTTCCATCTTTTTCTTTAATCGTCCCTTCCACGCAAGCGTGTGCCGATTGGCGCGGAGGAAGACAGATCTTTTTTAGATCAGATTTCGATCGATTTCGAGTATTATAATAATAATAATAATAATAATAATAATAATAATAATAATATAATATAATATAATCTGGTGGAGAGGGGGAAGTACGAGGAAGAAGTCGTTGGACGGATATATGTGAATGGATGTACAAAAATAAAAAGAGAAAAAGAAAAATGAAAAGATTGTAATCTTCAATTCAAAGAGAGAACTATGAATATAATGGTAACGTTAGTTTCCATCGCGAATACGATTGTCGAGTAAATCGACTGTGACACGCGCGCACAACAAAAAACACATACACGTACACAAACACACGCACACGCACGTATATATATATATATATATATATATATATATATATATATACTGCAATTGATTTTTCGGTTACAATACAAAAAGAAAAAAGAAGGATTTATTTCGCGCGACAAGGAGATATGCGAAAGTACATACAAAATTGCGACCAATTATTCGAAAAATGGCGAATGGCGTCGAATAAGGTTCTTTTTCTTCTTCTTCTTCTTCTTCTTCTTCTTCTTCTTTCTCGTCTTTAATAAGAAGGGAAATAACATTAAGTTAACACAGATTCGGCGGTCGGCGGGTGAACACAATGCGGTGCTCCGAATGATCCATGAGCATGCCACATTAAAAATTTCTTTCTACGTAATATAAGAAAATAGAAGAAAACGGGGGAAGTATCGACGCGCCAATTTTCTTCACGTCACGTGGAATTTACAAAAAGAAAAAAAAAAAAAAAAAAAAAA